AATGCCTCTCATGTCTATGCCACTATTTTTAACACTGTAGTTTCCTACTGCCTCCCCACTGTAGAGAGAGGTTCTGGCAGGGGAAAGCAGCAAGGAGAGGCTCCTCACTGCTGGAGCTTTTCCTTGACATAGGAAGTTGCTGGAGTCTTTCTCTGCCACAGGGAAAGACTCCAGCAGCTCCCCCTACCAGAGTATTTCCCCACTGCTTCACCTGTTCTGGAGCCTTCCACAGAAATATGGACGCAGCTGGCTTTTCACTACAGTGGGTGTAGCTACACACATGCTGCATGCCACTGCCAGTGTAGGCAAGGCCTCAGGCAATAGTGTCTCATGGTTTTAGAGTCAGAGGTCCAGGACTCTGTCTCTACTGCTGACACTTTATTACACTGGTCTGGCTTTAGACTAGAACCCAAACCCTGTTTTAAACCTAATTGTGATCTGAACATCTTCTCCTTGGCCCATCTGATTTATTAAGGTTTGCTCATCCCAGCAATTGGAGAACTCAGGTAAATGTTGTGAAGAGCAGTGGTTGAAGAAAATTTTTCGTGTCCGTAACCCAACAGAACTAGGAATGAGGGGTTTGAGGTGTGGGAGGGGCTCAGGGCAGGGGCAGAGGGTTGGCGTGTGGGGCTGAGGGCTGTGGGGTAGGGCCAGGAATGAGGGGTTCAGGGTGTGGGAGGGGGCTCTGGGCTGGGGCAGAGGGTTGGGGTGTGGGAGGGGGTCAGGGCTCTGGGCTAGGGATGGGGAAGAGGGGTTTGGGGTGCAGGAATGGGCTCTGGGTTGGTGGGTGCTCAGGGCTGGGGCAGGGGATTGGGGCGGAGCTTACCTTGGGCAACTCCTGGTCAGTGGCGCAGCAGGAGTGCTAAGGCAGGCTTCCTGCTTGTCCTGGCACCGTGGACCGCCCTGCGCCCCGGAGGCAGCTCTTGCCCGCTGGCACCCCCTTCCCCCAGCTCCCATTGTCCGGTTTCCGGCTAATGGGAGTGCGGAGCTGGTGCTTGGGGTGGGGGCAGCACCCGGAGCTCTGTGCCCCGGCCTCCCCACCCCCCGCCTAGGAGCCAGACCTGCTGCTGGCCGCTTCCGGGGCACAATGCGGTGTCAGAACCGGTAGGGTCTAGCCTGCCTTAGCCAGGCAGCACTACCAACGGGATTTTTAAAGGCCTGCTCGGCGGTGCTGACCAGAGCCGCCACCACCACAACCCAGTGCCTTACAGTCCGTGACCCAGTACTGCAAACCCACTGGCTCGGCCCATGAGGACATTGTATGTCCTAAGTCCCATAAGCAAAACAAGAAGGTACAGAAACCTAGGGTTCCACTGGCTCCACACCAGGGACTTTTGATTCCTTTAACATTCCTGTGGTGGGAAGAACACCTCAGCAGCTCAACACTGTGGCATTTAATTTCAGAAAGGGGAACTATGCAAAAATGAGGAGGTTAGTTAAACAGAAATTAAAAAGCAGTGACTACAGTGAAATCCCTGCAAGCTGCATGGACACTTTTCAAAGACATCATAATAGAGGCCCAACTTAAATGTGTACCCCAAATTAAAAAACACAGTAAAAGAACTAAAAAAAGAGCCACCATGGCTTAACAACCATGTAAAAGAAGAAGAGAGAGATAAAAAGGCATCTTTTAAAAAGTGGAAGTCAAATCCTAGTGAGGTAAATAGAAAGGAGCATAAACACTGTCAAATTAAGTGTAAACATGTAATAAGAAAAGCCAAAAAGGAATTTGAAGAACAGCTAGCCAAAAACTCAAAAGGTAATAATAAAATGTTTTTTAAGTACATCGGAAGCAGGAAGCCTGCTAAACAACCAGTGGGGCCGCTGGACGATCGAGATACAAAAGGAGCACGTAAAGACGATAAAGACATTACGGAGAAACTAAATGAATTCTTTGCCTCAGTCTTCACGGCTGAGGAAGTTAGGGAAATTCCCAAACCTGAGCCGAACTTTGTAGCTGACAAATCTGAGGAATTGTCACAGATTGAAGTGTCATTAGAGAAGGTTTTGGAATTAATTGATAAATTTAATAGTAACAAGTCACCAGGACCAGATGGCATTCACACAAGAATTCTGAAAGAACTCAAATGTGAAATTGCGGAACTACTAACTATGGTTTGTAACCTGTCCTTTAAATCAGCTTCTGTACCCAATGGAAGATAGTTAATGTAACGCCAATATTTAAAAAGGGCTCTCTAGAGGCAATTACAGACCGGTAAGTCTAACGTCAGTACCATGCAAATTAGCTGAAACAATAGTAAAGAATAAAATTGTCAGACGCATAGAAGAACATAAATTGTTGGGCAAAAGTCAACATGGCTTCTGTAAAGGGGAATTCTATGCAGCCCCCCGCTGCGTGGGGCCCCAGCCTCCCTCCCCAAACTTTGGGAGGCAGGAGCTGTGGGGGGGCACTTTTGAGTGGCCTGGGGGATTAGCGGGGGGCCAGGAGCAGCCCACTCCACTTCCCTCACCCTGGCCCCAGCTATGTCACTTGGGGGAAGGGATTCCCCTCCACTCACCGGCAGCAGCAGGAAGCGGAGCAGCCCAGCCCCAACCCGCTCCACTCTGCCAGCTCCCAGCTGCGGTGCTCCGCTTCCTGCCGCCAGTGAGAGCTGGGGGTGGTCCTTTCCCTAACCTGAGTGACATGGCTGGGGCCGGGGCAAGGGAAGCAGAGCAGGGTGGGGCCACTTCCCGCCACCGTTGAGTGTCGGGAAGCAGAGCGCCGCGGCTGGGAGCTGGCGGAATAGAGGGACTGGGTCTGGGTTGCTCCGCTTTCCGCTGCTGCCAGCGCGTGCGGGATTGCTGGGGGAAGAGGTCGAAGGGGGGGGGTACCGGGGTGGGGGAAGGATAAGAGGCAGGGCAGAGGGAGTTGTCCGGGGCCCCACACACCCCCTGCGGGGGGGCCGGCCAAGGGATAGGGCTGGTCACCGGGGCTGGTGCTGCCGTGTATGCAGCACGCAGCTGCCTAGGGCACCATGAAATGTGGGGCAATTTGGTGCCCCAAATTTCATGGTGCCCTACGCAGCTGCATATGCTGTGTATGTCTAAGGACAGCCCTGACCAATCTTATTCAACTTATTCATAAATGATCTGGAGAAAGGGGTAAACAGTGAGGTGGCAAAGTTTGCAGACGATACTAAACTGCTCAAGATAGTTAAGACCAAAGCAGACAGTGAAGAACTTCAAAAAGATCTCACAAAACTAAGTGATTGGGCAACAAAATGGCAAATGAAATTTAATGTGGATAAATGTAAAGTAATGCACAGTGGAAAAAACAAAAACCAACCAACTATACATATAATATGATGGGACTAATTTAGCCACAACTACTCAGGAAAGAGATCTTGGAGTCATCGTGGATAGTTCTCTGAAGACGTCCATGCAGTATGCAGCGGCAGTCAAAAAAGCAAACAGGATGTTAGGAATCATTCAAAAAGGATAGAGAATAAGCTGAATAGCTTATTGCCATTATATAAATCCATGGTACGCCCACATCTTGAATACTGCATACAGATGTGGTCTCCTCATTTCAAAAAAGATATACTCGCATTAGAAAAGGTTCAGAGAAGGGCAACTAAAATGATTAGGGGTTTGGAACAGGTCCCATATGAGGAGAGATTAAAGAGGCTAGGACTTTTCAGCTTGGAAAAGAGACTAAGGGGGAATATGATAGAGGTATATAAAATCATAAGTGGTGTGGAGAAAGTGAATAAGGAAAAGTTATTTACTTGTTCCCATAATATAAGAACTAGAGGCCACCAAATGAAATTAATGGACAGCAGGTTTAAAACAAATAAAAGGAAGTTCTTCACACAGTCAACCTGTGGAACTCTTTGCCTGAGGAGGTTGCGAAGGCTAGGATTATAACAGGGTTTAAAAGAGAACTAGATAAATTCATGGAGGTTAAGTCCATTAATGGAAGATGGACTACCACAGGATACCATCATCACTGCTGGCATCGATGGCCTGGGCAGAAAGAGACCCTCTTATACTAGAGAGCTCCAGATCCATGACTGCACCACAGGGCATTTTTGCTCCCCCGAATTCAGAATCCCCCTGCTCCATTAGAACCCTCCATTTCCAGAGTTTATATTGCCTCCAAGAGATCTGCTGGTGGGATGGAGTTTATCACCGCCCCCCACCCCCCACACACACAATCTCCATCTCTCCATCAGCACGGACGATACTGCCATTGGAACCCGAGTTAACTCTTTCCTCCTCAGGAGATTTGGAACCACTCCTCCTGTACCACCATTCCCCATTCCCCAAGACTCACACGACCCTGGGACCAACCACCACCTCACCTGGCTCAGAGTGACTGGTACCCCATGCCATGGGGACCACTGCCACCACCTTTAGACCCCACCTACTGGTCATACTCTGGACCTTGGCAAAAGTACCCCCCTTTGGAATCTATTTGCTCTTCTAGGGAGTCACCACCTGTGGTCCCTCCAAGGGAATGATCAAATTTACCTTTGGATCCGATAGAAGAGGAGCAGGAGTACTACCACACTATTGTCATCATTATCACCAGATGAAACAGTGGCTTCAGCATCTCTCCCCCCCTCACCCCTTTGAAAACATTGGGTCTATCCCTCAGTTCTCTGTCAGTCCATTTGGCGGCTATCAGTGCATTCCATCCCTCTATGGAGGGCTACTCTATTTTTGCACACCCACTAACCACGCAATTGTGGAAAGGCCTGATAAGAACTTTCCCATCTCCTTGAAAGATAACACTCCAATAGGACTTAAATCTCATTCTTTCAGTTCTGACATGCCCACCCCTCTTTGGACCCTTAGGGACTTGCTCCATGTTCCTCTTCTTCATGAAGGTCATCTTTCTTGCAGCCATTTCATCGGCAAGGAGAGTTGGTGAACTTGGTGCAATGATGACAGACCCTCCATACGCTATTTCACAAAGATACAGTTTCTTTACACCTACACCCCAAATTTATCCCTAATGTGGTTTCGGAATTTCACCTGTATCTATCTATTCTTACCTGTATTCTTCCTGAAACCGCACGCAGCCACTGAAGAACATAGGATTCGCTCCCTAGACATTTGATGAGCCTTGGCCTTTTACCTGCAGAGAACAAAACCATTCAGAAAGTCCCTGAGGCTGTTTGTCGCTATAGCGGAGTCAGAGGACATACCATCTCCACCCAGAGAAGTTCTAAACAGATATCTGGTTGCATTCTACTCTGTCTGCTTTCAAACCTCTCCTCCTCCCACTCCAGGGGTATGAGCTCACTCCATGAGAGCCCAAGCCACAACTGTACTGTCTCTTCAGGACATACCCCTTCCAGACATCTGTAAAGTGGCCACTTTTCTGTCCACATGTTTGCAAGACATTACACCCCGGTACAAGACTCAGCTACTGATGCCTCCTTTGGAACAGCAGTTCTCTTCTCGACCCTACCATTCTCATCCTCGCACCCTCCACCTACGTAGGTACTGCTTGTCAATCACCCACAGAGGAATACAATAGAGACCATCTCTTGAAGAAGAAGAGGAGGTTAATTACCTGTAAATGGAAGTTCTTCAAGATGTGTGGTCCCTATCTTTATTCCACTACTTGCCCTTCTTCCCCTCTGCTTCAGATATTCTCTGATTCATGGAGGAGAACCAACTGAAGAGGCAGTCGGTCCACCCCACCCTTTATCACCTCAGAAGCACGAGATGACCCAGAGCCCATGAACAACAGACACTACTTTCAAATTCTTTGACTTCGGGTGCACGGTGCTCATGCGTAACCCACAGTGGCATACAGATAGGGACCACACATCTTGAAGAACCTCCAGTTACAGGTAAGTATCCTCCTCTCTCTGTTCCTAGATTTACATAGTGAAGTTTTAGAGTCACTCACAGTACCTGTTCTTGGAAGAAAGAAGGATACAAAGTATTCATATGTTCAGACAAAGGGCTCAAATTACTCCTGCTGGCTTCAGGAGACTACAGTAGCTGTGCAGGATCACTGTGCTGACCCTCCTCTGGAGTCCTCCAGGGGGTAGGGGAAGCAAAACTACCATGATGGTTCATCCACATAGTTACTGTCAGGGGAAGGCAGCATTAAATTCCAGCTAGGGCACCACAGAAACACTGATTCAGGGCAACTCCCAGTCAGCCCAAGCCTGAATGCTGTCTCAGCTGCACCAGCTGGCTTTAGGCTTTCCAGCAGCACACGGTTTGTGGATGACTTGTGCTATCATGCCCTTCTCTCTGTACATTTAGGCCACCTTGGCTTTACACCCTGAGTTCTGCCCGCACAAGAAAGAGTTAATGATTCACCATTTTCTTGTCTAAAAGTTACTGTTACATTCATAAAAGGTATGCTCATAGTATCAAACCACTTTATGGAGACAAAATTACAGCAATCTTGAATAGAAGGAATGACTGTTATAGAGCACCCTGTGAGAACAGTGAGGTGTGAATGTAAAAGTGTTAATAGCCTGTGGAAACACTGAAAGGGTCTAGTGTCAAAGATCTGTTCTACAGGTAATAAATGACTTTCCATTGCTCTCCCTGCCTATCTTAAGTCCCCGTTTGTCCCTTAAAATCCTGTTTTTTTCATTACAACCCATGTTCAATGGTCACATTGTAATTTCCGCTGAAATCCTGCTGCTCTGCTCTAAAGGAAGTGTAGGGTACCAGTGCCAAACCTCACCTAAGATCCATAGCCGACACTTGGTTCCCTCTAAAATATTCCTGCTGAGCAAGTTCCTCTTAATTATCTTGCTTGGTTATGGGAAAACAGAACACCCCATTAAAATATGAAAGGCCTGGCCATCTCTGCTAGGCCTAAAGCCGATTTCTGCATACAGGTCTCTTGTGCCCCATAGCTTTCATATCAGTGTCATTCACTGTATTGCAAGACATCTGATGGACAAGTCCGAGGGTGTGTACCATCTAAACTAAAGTGGATCAGCAGACTCTGGGATCTGTTCTCGGCCTCTTGGTTGTTCTGAAAAGTGAGACCATAGCTGCTGGAACTATGGGGTACTGGGGGTGCCGCCGCACCACCTGGCTTGAAGTGGTTTCCATCATATACAGGATTTAGTTTGGTTCAATGGCTCTCAGCACCCCTACTATACGAATTGTTCCACCACCCCTTGGTGAGGCAGAATGCTTTTAGGGTTGGAGAAGGTATAAAGAAGACTGGAGTATGTTCAAATAATTAAAGTGAATATACGTGTGGTCTGTGGAGAACTAACCTGCAAACTGTCCTTGTTTCTAACTGAGAGAAATAGAAGGGAACATGAAACTAAAGTTGACAGTGACTAGCTGTTTTCAAAAAAGACAAAATACTTATTGCACTGAAGACAGTAATAATAGGCTACATTCAATATTTTTCTTGTATTACTTTTCCATGTAAGCAATTAATGTAGTTCACACAGAGATACTATGTTTGTGATCATGAATGGGAAGGGAAGCAGTATTCACAAGACACCATCTGTTTGTTAATATGTGAGCGGACACATTAAGAAACAAGGTGAGAGTTTAAATGATTATCTAAACCAGGGAGGGTTTAATCATAATCTTTATCCTTAGTTAGGTTGTTGTAGTGACTTTTTTTTTTAAATGAGTATTTGGGGTAAGGTCAGGTTATAGGGTATAGGTATAGTTTATAATTAGGCAAAGTTATTTTATTATTGATGGTGGGTAAGCATTAATCTTACTATTACACTTGCTCGTTGCACTTGGACTATTGTAAATTTTCATGTTGTAAAATCACTCTCAATTTTGGATGGAGTGGTGCTAATGAATATAGATAAAAGAAATATTTCAGATATTAAGACCAGGCACTGGTCAGGAAACAGGAATACTGTGCTTAATGCATACTTGTTCCCTGAGTTTCAGTAATGAAATCTATAGACGAGACTGCATGAGGCCCCACTTGTGTGCATGTTCCTACTAAATTTTCCAGTATTTACTCTGGCATTAACTCTGTGTATGCGTTAGTCGTACTTTATAGATATTGTACTGATTTTCATACAGACATAAAATATGTATGTGTATTTAACAGAAACAATTCAGAGATATGGTGTGTGTGTGTGTGTAAAATAAACACTCAGGATTTTTAGAAATGGAATGAGAAAAACAATGAATTTTGACAGGCATGTGTGTATTCATGTTGTAAAAGCTCCCATACACAGAACTGGTTTCCCTCTCCCTTTAAAATTGTAAATAAGATGAGGGGACTGGCTAGTTTAATATCTAGCCCCTTAAGACAGACCCTTAGCAATTGAAACTACAGTAATGTAATACTATAAAGTGTCATCCTGATCTTTATCAAACTGTGGCCCATTGACTAGATAGTGGTGGGTTAACACGACAGCCAGACATCATGATGCAGAGGTGGACAGGCAAACAGAAAATATTTCTGTCTGAATGCACCTGAGCATTGGAGGTTGATTGCTTACATTATACATTTATTTATAGCAGATAGCAACATTTAGTTTTCAACACAAATTACAAATATGACCTTTGGTGAACATAGGCTATTAATATTATATTACATAGAGGTAAATGTGACTTTGCGTAGTCTAAGCTTGCTGTTCCATTGAAACAGGCACTAAACTGTTTTATGAAACTTTTTATCTTAAAGGAACAATGTCAACTTAAAATAGGGTCACCAGACAGTTAGTGCAAAAACATCAGGACAGGGTGTGGGGGGTAATAGGAGCCTATATAAGAAAAGGGCCCCAAAATTGGAACTGTCCCTATAAAATCAGGACATCCTAACTTAAACTGTAATCATGTGTACTAGGTGGGGCCGTGCTGCCCATGATAAAGATGGGAAAACGGAGGCCTATGGCACTTAAAGCTATGGGGTAAACCCGCAGCTGTAGAATCTGGGCTGGTGGAGTCCAGGTTTCTAAGCCTGTCCTTGAACATCTACACTGCATTGTAAACCTGGCTGTAGGGTTGCTGGAGCTGGGTTCCAGGCTCATGCTGTCCATAGTGCACTATACAGCCCCTCTGACGCACTCTGGGGCTTGAGCTGTGCCATGCTGCACAACAGCAGGCTTGGAGCCAAGTCTTAGGAGGCCTCTGGGTCCTAGGCCCTGGCTGCCGAAGGCTCCCTGATTCCTGTGAGGCTGGAAGCGGGCCCTGGCTTTCCCCGAGGCTGAGCGCAGCGTTGCAAGGCAGGCTCGACAGACCCTAGCTAGGGGCCAATGCTGCAGGCGGAGTCTGGCCGAGCCGCCACTGGAACTCGCCCAGCCGGGCCCGCTCTGCCTTTGCGGCGGAACTAGCTGCCGACCCTGGGCGCCCCTAGCGGCTCCTGCTTCACCCTCCGCCGGAGCTGCTGCGCTGCGTCCCTCCCCCTGGCCCTGAGCCGGCTCGGCCCGGCCCCCGCACAGCTCCAGCCACCGCCGCAGCATGAGGTTCTCCGCGCTCTGGCGCCTAAGCCGGGGAGCCGCCGCCCCGCTAGCCGGGAGGAAGGGGACTGCGCCCCGCCGGGGCACGGCCAGTACCTGGGGCCGCTGGGAGAAGCAACAGGCTGGCGGCGCGCGGGGCTCGGCTGCCGGGTAAGCGGAGCCAGCGCAGCCAAGTGTCCCGGGGGCTGCGGATGGGCTGGGAGCTGTTGCGGGAGGGGAGGGGAGGGACGTGGAGGTGGCGCAGGGTCTTTTCTGCCCCCCGGCTGGTACCTCGCGGCGGCCGCGCAGCTCTTCCCGCTTAGCGCCGGGCCACAGCTCCACGTGGGGGCCCGGGGGCTGCCTGCGTCCCGCTACGTCTGCTGTAAGAGCTTGGCGGAGTTGGGGCAGACGCGGGTGCTGCCACCCTCCCCTCTCCCCCGGCAGGTTCTGCTTTCCTCTCCGGCCTCGCGCCTCAGCGGGATACTGGCCTGCGCCACCTCCCCTGGGGGAGTCACTTTACAGTCTCCCCTGGGCATGGCAAGCTCTGCGGGCTCCCGTTGCTCCCCTCGCCTCGCGTGTTACTCCAGCACAACACTCATGTGCACGTAAACTTCCTTGTTACAAACCAACGTGCCCTGATATCAGGAAAGGGAAAACTAAGTGAGGGGCTCCCCGATTACAGCTAACTGCCACGTTGCACGTACTTCATGGGTTCTGTGTAACAACATAAAGAGTAAAACCAAATGCTGCTCTCCATGAAGTCAATTATGTATTAAATTACAGTATGAAATTATGTAATTAATTTTTTACATGTAGACTTCAAAGTTTGTAATGTTTTTGTTTTATTTTCTTCATTACAAGCTTATGTATTTTATTTCCTTAATTTTTTATTGATTGATTTGTTTCCCAATTAAAACAGCAGTGAACTGGACAAGGCTCCATTTGTTTCAGTGCTGCTCACAGGCAGTGAATAGCAGCATTGAAACTTAGTCTAATCTTAGCAAGTTTACTTTGTTGCTGCTTGGGGAAGCTATAGCCAGCCCTAGAGCTACTGGAGCTATCTGCAGTCTCAGGAAGATATTACTTGTTTGGATCACATTTGAAAATCATTCCCACACCCAGGTTTTAGGGATAGTTGAAATGAAACAAACCATGCAGAAAGTGTGTATGTCAGAGTTACCACTCCCCTCTAACTATTAAAGTATCCTGTTCACTGGTGAGTGGATTTTCCAAGCCTTGTGGAATAATTAGAGGTGCAGAATCTAAAGGACTGGGCATGTCGGAGCAATGGTAAATGCAAGTTAAATAATGAAGGTGTTGTGGCTGGATTTGCTACTTCAGTTTTGCTATACTTAGCTGCCAAATGTTACCGTATTTATTAATATATACACATTGCTTTGAAAATAAAACCATTGAACATGCTTAAATATTTATTCAGTAGTTCTGAATTCTGTCACTAAAATAGTATGGAAAATTGTCAACCGCTTTCTGGTAATGGTGTAACAGATAAATGTGTAACAAACATTGATACATGTTACTGTTGTGTTGCAGAGAAATCATTCAGAGTTCAAAGAAAGTCCTGGCATCGTTGCAGAAAGGACACCCTACATTTAAGCCGACACTTGCCATTGTACAGGTAAAGTATTTATTTGTTTGTCTATTTAACTCAAGGATTGTTTCTTCTTATTTTCATTTTGAAACATTTTAAAAAATAATTTTATATGTACTATCAGTAGAGTAGCAGAAAAGACTTTAATAGAAGGGCATTTGTACTGATTGGTGTTTCCTAGTTAGCTTCTTATAAGCTGTGGAATGAGTTCTAATAATAAATCTATATACGTACAAAGTTTTATTAATAACTTTTAAAAGTAGGAACAAGTTCTGCTATTTGAGCATCTCATGAGTGATCAACAGCTGGCTTTATTGCCAAGTCTTAAAGAGCTGCTGTCTTTGAAATATACAAACATTCTTAGTGGTGTATAGCTGGTTTCCACAGAAAGTCATGGGATAACTCTCTTTAGGTGTCTAAGGCTTCCAGACTGGGAAGATGTGTAATAATCCATTGTACTGAGTTATTAAAATGCAAAAATTACAGGGACTAGAAGGATAGTGATGGGATGCAGCTCCTTTTACTTCTAAGTCATTGGTTCAAATCTGTCCCAGATCAATAGGCGCTAAAAACAGTTACCATAAGATAAATTTCTGTTGGAGTCTGTGGAAAGAGTTGGTGACTTTAGTCCAGTTCCCAGTAGATAGTGGTTCACATCACATTCAGTAGAGGTGGAAAAGACTTGAGTTGTGGCATATTTTGAGGGAAGTGTAGAAAATGCTTTTATTGCCATTGACTGTGCTTTACCTGTTATAGGGATGCAAAAATAACTTCACTTTCAAGTATTGTTGGACTGGCGCCTTTTTTAACTAAACAAATTTGCTTAAAGTAGGGAAAACATCCAGCTCTTATCTTTAAGATATGTATTTCAACATACCAAGCCAAGGTAAATATTCCAAGCTGGCCTTCTGTCAGATTCCTATAGACTGGGCAGCTTTAACCTCCTCTCACTACTGAAAGAGACAGGGGTGCTGGAACAATTTTTATAGTGGGGTTGGTGAGAGCCATTGAACCAAACTGTAAACCCTGTATCTGATGGAAACTGCTTCAAGCTAGGGGGTGTGGCAACATCCCTAGTTCCAGCACCTTGGAAAGAGAAATGTTTGCACTCCACCTTCTTTCTGTAGATCTATTTATCAGAGTACACACAATTTTTCTTAAAATATAATCCTATATAATCTTTGGTGCTAAATTCTGTCCTTAGATTACTTACATTCTGCCTTTTTTTTTGGTCCCTTTAAGGTGAGTGATGAAGATTTGGTGCAAGACGTAAACCAGAACTTTGGCAAAGAGGTGAGGATTAGGAGATGTGGTTGATTTTAATTGTGAGCCCTCTGATTGTTGTAGTAACTTAAAATATTTGTTTTCTCTTGGCAGATTGGTCTGCACGTTATTCACATTTGCCTCCCTCAGGGTAGCAGTGAAGATGAGGTAACTGTAGCACTTTGTGGGAATCTTTTTCTTTATACTTGAATTATAACACCAAATGGAAATGTTTAAAATTGTATTTATGGCATTCATCATCATTGAATCCTCTGAGCACTTCGCAGACATTACATAAATGTATACTCGTAGCACTCCTGTGTAGGTAGGCAAATATTATACCCATACATAGAGAGAGAGCGAGACGGAGGGAGGAAGTGTCAGACCAGAAAACAGAACTTGGATCCCTTGGTTATCAGTTTAGTACCTTAACCATGAGAACAGAGTGCATCATGGATATAATCTTGCAAACACTCCACATGTGGAACTTCTGTTGAAGTCAGTGGAAATTCTACATACAGAGAGTTTTCACAGTTGGGACCCTAACTTGATATTTGTCTAATGCAGTTACTGTTCCCTCCATGCTCTCCAGAATACACATACTCCTTCACTGTATTAGACCAGGTTTTAGCCAGAGAAACTTCTAAACTGAATATATTATTTTTAGAATTATTTTAAATATGTTTGTAACTGGCTGTGTATATCACTGCCAGAGGTAATGTTAAAAATAGCAGTAATAAATTCCTTCATTTGTTAATAGTAACATTGAGGGGACCAAATTCTCACTTTGGTTGCACAGTTATGTCAGAGGCACTGAACTAATGTAACTGAGGTCAGGATTTGGGCTTGTATGTATTAAATACAGAAACACTTACTAACATTGTGAAAGGGCCAAATTAATTAAAAAATAACAGAGCATAACATAAGAGAAAAGGGATTTTACACAACAGAAGGCGTACAACATGTCCATCTTACCCTAGGGCTCTACCTCTGGGGTAGAAGGTCAGGCAGATTTTGCTTTTTCAGATCCTCCAGCAGACTGTGCATCAGTCTGTCACGTGTGTTTGTAACTATGGCTGGAGCCTGGAAATAGTATCTTCCCAGCTAAAAGCTCAAGCATTGTCTTCCAATGATTCCTGTCACACATACTGGGAGGTTGCTTATTGGAAGCCATTGTGTTGTCTTCTGGCTAGTTTCTTAACAGCCCTACTATTAAATTAATCCAACGTGCATCCAGTAAACATTCCAGTAACCCAATGTAGCCATACTATCCCACTAACTGTCTCACTAGCCCCATCACATACAGGATTTGTAAATTATTACAGATCAGCCCCACGTCCTTCACACAAGTTCATCTAGTACCACAGCACTGTCACGCTCCACTTCAAATTGTCTTCTGACTGAAGCATCAAACTAGAAATTGGAAAATGTGTGTTTCTATTCCTGGGTCAGCTGTAAATGTCTTGGGTAACCTTGGGAAAATCACTTAGTCTCTCTGCCTCATTTTCCCATCTGTGAACTGGGGATAATATAACCTTGGCTCACAGAAATGCTGAGGGGCTTATCTGACTATAGGCTTTGAGAGTCTTGAATGAAGTATGCTTATAAAGTGCAAAGTAGAAGTAAGAAAATTAGAAGTATAGAATAGTCATATTGAATGGTATTAAGCATGTCAAAATGATTAAGTGTTAATTATTATTAATAAAAGTTAGCACTTGTATAATGCTTTTCTTCATTAGACCTTGCATCTGCTTTAGAAAGATCAGCTAGTATCATTATCTCCATTTCACAGATGGAAAAACTGACTCAGAGAGGTTAAATGACTTGCCTAGTGTCACACAGCAGGTTCATTGCAGAGTCTGGAATAGAATGTGGATCTACTGACTGAGTGAGGGTGAGGTCTGTGAGGACTCTGTGCACTCAAGAGTTTCTTTTACATGTACATACAATTTAAATGTTTTTTTAAAGCTATTTAAATTTATTTTCAAGGTAGTCTTCACAAGCTCTTACTTAGCGCTAGCCTCACTTTCCATTATAAATATGAGCTGAAATAAATGTAAAATTACATAACTTTGTAGTAAATTTTCTTTGATTCTGTGATGCACAAAGATACAGCTTAGGCCGGGTAATGAAGAGGTGTGTGCTAGTTAACTTTTTTCAAAAGGGAATATATAGAATTTGTTTACAGTGTAAGTTTTAATTTTTGAAGCCATGGGAAAATGGAATGTATCACAATGGATCAGGTGTGATATTTTATTAGAGATGGACTCAGACACAAAATTCAAATCTGGATTGGGAGTGGTTTTGTCTAAAATATTGATACAACCAGATCTAGGTCAGTATTGAAATTTTATAAACACTTAAAAAGTCTGGAAGTAGTTGGGCCTCTAGTTTTGGTTTGGGCCCCAACTTTGTGCTTCTCGTGCCGTTTAAGGATATGTGGCTGTATCACTTGTCATTTGGCTGGTTTAGATTATTAAGTTAAACACTTCATAATAAGAGAAGATAAAACCTTTTCTCTGAGTGTCATTTTGTTACATCAAAATCACCTCCTGCACTAGATATCAGTGCATGTATTCCTATATACAGAGGTTATCGTTTGTTTGGTGAAGAACAACATTTGCACCAGCTGAGCACAAAAACGTTCAATTGGTAGTTAAATCAAACTTTACATTCAGTCATTTTAATTCTTCTGGGAATATTTTTCCCTTTTAAAATATCGATTTTTTCTTTTGTTTCTAGTTTATCACGTCTTCACT